GTTGTATTTTTTATGATCAGAATACAATAAATTCAATTTTTGGTTTAAACTTGATTCTACAATAGAGTAACTACACATCTGCAAATGTGTACTCTAATATTTTTTTTGTTAGCTAACCATTGGTTTTCTTGGCAACAATATGTCTGAATGTTAACTGCTTTAAGAACGGAATAAATAAATACAAATACAAAGATCTTTTTAAATGATAGTTTTATTTTTTATTACAGGAATTTAGAGAGATGATTATGCACAAGGGTATCCTAGCCACTGCAAGGGCATTCAGAAATGACCTTTTGATCATGGATGAAGACTAAGATATAAGCAAAACTAACCACCATGATGTGTAATCATGTGTATACATGTAGGCAATTCATTTTATGGCAGCATGGTCATTTAGAAGCTGGCTTCAGTTTCCTAATCCTTATGTTAAAGGGACATGCTGGTACTGGCCAGTTCCAGCCTTGTCCACAATCAAGGTTCACTCATGTTCATTGACAACATGGCATAATAAGCTACTCCATATTCCCTGTAATGAGAATAAATATAAAACTGTCTGCAATTTGTCTTCATTTGGATTTCCATTTCAGGACACAATAGAAGTCATTGAAACATGTACATTAAACCAAGGATTTTTTCAAACAAGGGAAGAGGGATGCAGCTCCCTCAAGCCATAGAATGCTCCATTTTAACTTGGAATTATCAAAAACTCCACACCCTGGTAGGGAGAACCCTACTACCCCCCCCCTACTTGGTGGCGCCGCTGAATTGCAGTGCTCCCTCTTGCTGTTTTTTTCTAGAGATAAACCCTGTTAAACTTTTATTGAACAAAAGCCATTGTCAATTGACATAGTCCCAGTTTGTATTAGCCTTTTAGGATGGACAGGTCACAGTTCAAGATGAGAGGATGGCAATTACAGTGATCATAGCATAGGGTGTAATATGCACAGAAACAAGAGTTGAAGTTGTCCATGCTGTTTATTTAAATTGAATGATCTGGCCCTTTTATTCACATTTGAAAATTTACATTTTTTTTATTTTTTCATTTGTCAAAATTATTGTGAATTTGTTTATCATAAACTACAACAAATTTTCCTGATAAAATTACTAGAAATTATGACTGCACATTCCTCCTCAGTTTGCTGAATTATTTAGCTCTAATTAATACCAGCACTGTCCCTTTAATATGGTAAAACAAGCAAACATTTCTAACACATATTTGTTATTAAATTCATATGCCAGCTGCTGATAAAGGTGAAAACTATTCTACTCAAACATAGCTCTACTCAACAAAGAAAATTGTTTTATCTATTTTACCAACACAACAATCTCACAATAAATACTGTGGAATACTTTATTTTCGCTGGAATTAATTTTCACTGAAAAGGCATTTTGGGCGTTTTGTATGGAATTTATTTTCACTGATTTTTGATGAGTTTAATGTGAAATATAGGAAAAAAGTATATTCGCTGGATTTTATTTTCACGGTATCATCTCTTCAGCGAAAATAGCGAAAATAAATTCCACGCGAAAATAAAGTATTCTACAGTAGATTAATTGTAAATTGATGTACTATGACTTTGGAAATGAAACATCAAAATAGAACAAATACAACACCAGCAAATGCCTACATGATTCTGTGGCATTTAAATCACCTACACACTCATGGACGGGCAGGCATTTGTACAAGACTACCTACTTTGATAATTTTCTTGGTAAGAATCTTAGCAGTATGTCATATGTTCAAGGAATGTTTAATTTCTGAATATATATTGTTTGCAAAAAGTAAATTCAGATATGATTAGGCCATCATTCAAACCGTCTATTAATATCAAAGTAGGATTTCAAATAAGTTGTATAGGAAAATATAGTCCAAGAAAAGGAATGTGCCTTAAAAGCAATAATAATGTCACCAGGTAACAACATCATACATACTATGGCTTGCCAGTTCATTTATTCAGCTTTGACTAGATTGCTTTGAATCTGGACAGAATTTAAACTTACTTATCTCAGCTCCAATTTGTGGATGAGCATCAGTCACAATCAACGAGCAGCTGCAAGCCCATGTAAAGGTACATGATAGATACTGTAAACAAAGAGTACCCGTGATGGGAGACAATACAAATAATACTCCGATCAACAATCAGTTACTTGACAATACAAAAAGCAAAAACAGAAATATTGACATCTCAAACACCAAAATTACCACATGCTTTAAACTTCAAAAGCATGCCAGTCTATGTTCAATAGACAGCTACTGGTCTGTCCTGTCGGTGTGCATATTTCGGTGACGATTGGCAACTGGCTGACGACTAACTGTCGCCAATGATTTGTCATCAGTAACGATAAATGTAAACAAGGAATAATTAAAGTGAATGTGAAATATGAGTGGTGGTCTGCAACCACCAAGAGTCCTAGTCCAAATTAAACAAAACAAATCTATAATCTGCGTATTAGCCAACTTACAGATCCATAAAAAACTTTTCCACTACCACATTGGTTTGCAAATTTACTTCCGACTTATTCGTGGTCCACCGGTCTATGTCCTCAAAAATATTCATTTTCCTGGCGTTTCTTCTCACGATGGTACGTTCTTTAGCGGAGTTTGTAACGTAAGGTCATCCTTTACTTTTCTGCAGTGCGGCCATATTTGCTCCGAATTTGTACTGACGTATGCGCAATATCAACCTATGACGTTGCAATTTCTGTGTTTACATTGATTTTGCCTGTACGTACAATAAAAAACCGAAGAAGCGTGTTTTGTTGTTTCACTGAACGAATACTATTTAGTGCGTTACAAAAGTTATGCTTTTAGATTCTGATAAATCACATTACAATCTCTTCTATAGCATGTAGTATCAAACGACTGTGATTAAAATTTCAATTTCTCGTCCATAGTCTAATTCTTGTCACCAAGTGGAGCCTTAACTGCCTGTGCAGTCCTACATCCATCCTTGTCAATTTTCTTTGAGGTGAGAATCCTCATCCTCACAGTAATCATTCTTGATAGTTTCTTGGGTCTTCCAGCTCTTCGATGTTGTTTATTTCTTTGGAGGGATGGTGAACTTTCGCTTTGACTATTTCACAACATTTGAAGCAGTCTTTGACGGCGGTTTGTAACATCAGAATCTGGCACCAAATGACTGGAAGCACTAAAAAAGAACATTTTTTGAGACATTACTTTGAATTAAAACGAAACTAAGCATTGTGAAACTCACAGCTCAGAATTTCAAAGTGAACCAAGTCCTCAGAAAATCAATTAAATATGCACAGTCCATGTACAGTTCCCACAAATGAACACCTGGTATTTCTCTGCCAAGTTCAGTCATATATTAACAACAATTCTAAATCAAACAAGTATACAAATGAGCTCATGAATTTTT